GCTTATATAATAATCTTAGTAAAGGATCACCGGCAAGGTTGCCAAAGATTAAAAAAAAATAAAAATAAAAATAAAATAAAAAACTATTCTAAAATCTAAGAGAACTTGTCTACAGATATAAAAACCTGCTAACCAAATGAAAAACTATCTATATGGTCATAGAAATCTATATATAGAGCTATCTGACAAAAAAAAAACTATAAACTAAAATACATTTTAATCTATGCTAAAAACTAAAAATTATATATATATGACTTTAAAATGTTATATATTTCTATTATATTGCTCCAGTTTATAACTTATAAAATTCACCTCAATTTCTAGAATACTAATTTTAAAGCCTTGATACATGATCGTTGGTTTTATTTATAATAGACCACTTTTTTCAAATTACAAAATCTTCTTATACAGTAGTTTTTTCTGATACACCTTGCTTCTTTACTATACAAGATTAAACAGGGGTCTTCTCTATAGTTAATTGGTATTATTGAAAACTACTTCCTCAGGTCTGTCACATAAGGCCTTCATTTCTGTATAGTTAAAGCTGATCCAAATACAGGACTTTCACATACTTTGATTTATTTCAAATAGAATTTTCTCCTTATATGTGATTGTTGTGTTTCTTATTCATCATATAATAATTCAAAATTTTTTAAAAATAGAAATATAAACAATGCTAATCTTTGAAAAGGGTAGCCAAATCCCCACTTTTTGTTAAAAATTATAAAAAAAGAAATTGACAGAAGAAAAATGTAGTTTTGTGAGTTTTTCAACCAAGTATTGTTTCAAGAGTTCTTCATAACCTTCTGTTCCCAAAATAACTTGAGTCTTCTTTCTATTTACTGTTTCCAAAGACTCTTTTGGTTTGGATACTGAATACAAAGAAGAGTCTACCCAAGAAAAGAAAGAGCTTGACCCCTTTGCAAACCGTTAAAAACGCCTGCTTCTTGGTGTGTCACATTTTATAAGACTTCATTGACAACAGTTTATATTAAGAAAACTTCAAGTTATTTGTTCACTTCTGATCTTGAGTCTTCAACTTGCTTTTAGTGACTGGTTGGTACAAGTGATCATCAGAAAGAGTTGTTATTATAATTTTGGCTAAATATTTTTTATTCAATGTATCAAATAAGGTTATTTAATCTAGTTTTTAAAATAGTATAATGAGAATAGTTATGTAACCAGAGAGACAAATTAGCAACACTCATTTAAAAAATCTTAAAAACTAAATAAATTTAAATTTTAACAAAAACTAAAAAACTAAAATTTTAAAATTTTAAAAACTAAAAAAATTAAAACTAAGCCCCAAAGCATCGCCTGGGATAAGAGCTAATATAATTAAAAGTTTAAAACTTGTGAGTTTTTTTTTTGGTATCACCCATTTATAGATATACTAAATTGCTATAATAAAATTGTTATCTGGGGTCTTTGCTATAAATTTTTTCTAAAAATAGATTACTATGTTTTTTTAATAAAAATCTCGTATAACAATATTTTTGGAGGGTCATTTTAATAACCAAGATCCCACATGATTTATTTTATATAAAATTTTATAATCATTTAGGTATTCAAAATATGATACTAGTGTATAGCGACTTAGTGGAATAGTGAAGTTATCGCATCCCCAAGCAGTTGAGTACAAGTTCAATTCCTACTGGAGACAAAAATTGAATTTCGAAAAACGGATTCAGCAAGTATCGTCGTGGCTGAGAAAACTCAAGACCTTGTAACTGGTCGTACCAATTCATCGAAACTGGAAGATCTCAGGGCCTTTGTATGACGTATAAATTATACAAATGATCTTTGGATCACAGAAAGCTACAGGGCCAATACGGCGATACAACGCTCACTTGGCAAATTCTGAATAAAGAAGTAGCACAAATCTTCAACAGTACTACGTAAAGGATTATCATCGAAAGAACCGGCAAAAACTGAATGAGACCAAGTGTTTGGCAAGGCACTCCACCAACCAGGCCACCAGGAGAGTAACCGGAGGAAAAGGACCCAACTGTGGAGACCAGAGGCAGGTCACAACCCTTCTGGGCCATCTGGATTGGTAGTTTGAAATAACTGGAGATACCATAGATGGTCTGTAATATGTGTACCAGGGTTTGAACAAACTCTATAAAGGCAGAAGTAGATAATGGTAGCGGCTTCGGCTTCGGCTCACAAGTCCTTGTCCTTGAACTCAGACGTAAGTTACTGAAGCCTAGGCTAGCCAGATTGTAGATACGGAAAGCTCTAGCAGGTTTACCTCAAGAACAAAAAGTTCGCTGATCAAGCCTGCTTTAAAGTCCTAAATCTGGATTCTTAAAGGATATACCCTAAAAATTCAATTATATATAGGTTGACTTACATATGGTGCAGAGGGTTTAAATAGATAACCCCTAGTTGGGTTATAGGTATGGCATCTAGTGTAGAACTTAGTAATAAGCAGACTACTTAAATAGGCAATCAAAAGTTGTACATGTGGCTAGTATGTATTCTCCAAAAATATGTATACTGTACGGGCGCCGAGAAGGGGCTTAGCATACGGTAAAAAGTTAATCAGTAACTGAATAAAAAAGAGACCCGACCAAGAGGTCACCTTAACACCAAAAAAAAAATCAAAATGTGACACTAGATACAAATTAGATATGAATTAGAGGTGTTCCTGTTTTATATACTAAAGTTCATTCTAGATAAAATAACAAAATTGCAAAAGTCAAATAGTATATAATCACAATGCCAAAGTTACATATTGGCTACATTGTCAGCCAAATGTCTAGAAATTATGAGCCTTTGAATTTGTGATGTTCCCTCATAAATCTGAAATATCTTAGAATCTCGATATAATTTTTCAACCGGATATTCTATTTTGATAAAATAAAGCAACGATTAAAAAGAATCATCACTATTGTATGTATCGGTAATGGGTGTAAGTACATACCTGTATTAAAGCCATTACCACCAAAAACTTGTACAGCCATATTAGCCGAGTTTACAGCTACATCAGACGCAAGCTAAATAAAGGAATAATTAAAAATTAATTCATTTATGCTTAGAAAAATTTTATAAATAAGTTCACATACTGCTTTAGCGATAGAGGCGTAAAATGTGTTCTTCTCGCCTTGATCGTGTAGCCAACTCGCCTGTTGAAACGTGCTCGCGTTAGATTGATGTACATTAAGAATTCTCTGTATATTTATAAATATATGATACTTGCCTTCCAAACCATATTTCGAGCCGATTCAATACCTATTGCTATATCGGCAAGTATAAATGCTATACTTTGATGTTCAAAACTTTATAAAATTTGATAATTATATATCAACTATTTATTTGTTATTATAAATATTAATTTTAGAAAAATACAACGATTAACAATACTAACATTGGTTTACCCATAGTTCGTCTCTCAAGAGAATATCTAGTAGCTTCCTCCAGTGCACGACGCGCCAATCCTACAGCAGCGGCGGCAATTAAGGGACGAGTAATATCAAATGCTGCCATGGCAATTTTGAACCCTTTACCAGCCGTACCTATTCTGATTCATCAAAATAAATAGTGATTAAAATTTTAAATTAACGCGTTTGTTATTAAAAAAAAGAATTTTTTTTTTATTAATCAAACTTACACGTTCTCTTCGGGTACAACAACATTTTCAAATGAGATACCTCGTGTATCACTAGCGCGTTGTCCCATATTAATTTCTTTTCTACCGACAGTAATTCCTGGCGTGTTCGCGTCCACAATAAATCCCGTAAATGCAGAACCAGGTTTAGCGTTAGGATCAGTACGTGCCAAAACGAAATACCAATTGGCCTTTCCTCCATTGGTAATCCACATTTTTTGACCATTAATGACCCACTTATCGCCTTTCTTTTCCGCCCTTGTTGAAATTCCAGCAACGTCAGAACCTGCGCCCGGCTCAGTAACACAATATGCGGCCATTAATGGTTCCTCGGTCATGCGGCCTAAATATTTTTTATTTTGTTCTTTATTTCCTGCGATGAGTAACGGTGCTTCTGCGAGACCATTTGCCTCAATCGCTGTTTGAATGCCAGTGCAGCCCCAAGCTATTTCTTCAGAGATTAGACTAGAATCAAGCACACCAAGGCCGATTCCACCATATTCTTGGGGAATATGTGTGTTTACTAAACCAAGTTCCCAAGCTTTTTTTATAATCTCAGTAGGAAACTCTCCGGTTTTGTCATAATGAGCAGCGTTTGGAGCGATCACTTCATGAGAGAAATTACGCGCAAGCTCTTGAAACTCTTTCTGAACTTCGTTCAGTGAAAAATTTATACTACCAGTTGTGGTCGCGAAAGACCTTATCGCTACTGAACTATAACGGCCAAATATCGAATAGAATCTTTGTGGAAATTTGATCATTTGAAAAGACATAAGAGTGAAATAGGTAAACACCCAATATAGATATCGATGCAAAATCCTAGTATCCGGGTACCATGCTTAGAGCTACTCAACAGGGACATTTGCCGATATCAAAAAAAATTAATCCAAATTATTAATAGCATTCTATTTAGCATTTTAAGCTCTATTGAATTAGAAGAGATAACCATATCAATAAATGAATGCAATTCACTTAATTACTTGATCAAATTTGATAAAAAAAATTTATTTGTTGACCTCCCTTATTATTATAATTTCATGTGCAGATACGTAAAAACGGTTTTTTTTTTTTTTTTAAAAGTTCCCAATTATTTTCAGTTAATGATTTTTGCTAACCATTTGTATTAATATCATTTAACTGTTATAATTTATTAGATTTTAAAATTTTTATTAAGATTATAGCCTACTCATTAAGTAAAAACGCTAATGCCAACCTAGCAGATTGGGATACCCGAATTTTAGATATTTCAAATAAAATAATTGGCACGCGCTAAAATTTATGAATACCTTTGTTAGAACATGAAAAGATAGAATTTGATTTTTCACATTACACTTTATTCTGTGATTCTATTAGAATGCAACAAAATAAAATGCAATAACTATATAAAAATATTAATTTAAAAGCTTGCTGAGAGTTGTTTCCTACGGATAAAGTACGTACGCTTATCTTTTGTCTAATGTAAATATACAGAAAAATAATTACAAAATACAGAAATGTAATTAATATATACAAACAAACAAAAAATAAAATAATATAACAAATAGCAAGTGATAAAGACTTGATCTACAACTTAGCCTAAATAAAAAAAAACAAGCCTTCAAATCCGTCAAGAAGGAAAAATAGTAAAAAAGAAAAAAAATAATAAAAAACAAAAAACAAAAGTATATATTTAATTATGATGATCCAATATTTAAGGGAATTTGTTTTACCATGAGATTGTGAAATCCTCACTTTTTAAATCTAATTACATACAAAAAGAAATTTAGCAACCAAAAATAAAGTTCAATAATAGAAAGCTATTTTGTTTGTTTTCTATTAATCTAAAAAGCCTTGGCTAAAAACCTTGGAGTTGAATATATTATCATGGAGTAGGCTAAAGCAAAATGAAGGGAAAAAAAAAGAGTTTAAACCAGCCTTTAAGCATTAAATAAAATGTTGAAAAAGCAATTTTACTTATATAAAAAGCTCTAATCTTAATCCTGGTCTTAGCCATCCTTTTAAATAAATAAAATGTTTGGAATGTAGATAATAAATCAACATAAAATAGAACATGAGCATGGTCAGCAAGAATTAGCCAATTATGCAGGATTTAGTATATCTTTGCATTGTAAACACTCTCTCTAAAAATATATATATTACATTTAGAATCTACAAGCAAATGGTTCAAACTTTTGTAGAAGTGGGAATTGCTATAAACCAGCAGCCTAGAAACTTGAAGGTATGTGAATAAGTCAAGTTTAAATTGTATAGTTTATAAATCTAATTTGTGATATTGTTTGAATATTGGACAAGAGAATTGATTTTTAAGGATTGACTTTAATATATGCTATTGTATAGTAATCATTTTGGGTCAAATATGCAAATAGCAGACTTTATTATTTTAAGAATATCTACTAAGCCATTGGCTCACAATGGTTATATCTATATTAAGAAACAAACAATCTATATCAAAAAGCATATATAGCTTTTTTTTTTGGCAATAAATTTATTATATTTATGTTTTGCCTTTTTCTTCATATAGATGATAATAGTAATATTAATGATGATAATGCTGATAGTAACAATGATGATAGCAATGACAGTATTTTCTTTCCTTTGCTAACATTATTCTATAAACTACTTATTTTATTCATATCAGCCTATACAAAAAAGTTCGAATAAGAAATATTTTACAATAAGGATAATCAAATAAAAATAATAAGATAGTTGAATACAGGAATATACCAATAGTGAAGTTTTTGTTAATATATAAAGGAAGGTATATAACTAATTTTTTCTATAGAACCAATAGACCTTTATTAAAAACTTATATCATATTAGCATTATCCATCATGTTTACTAGTGTGAAGTTAATAAATGCATCTAATTCAGTACTTGTAAGAGCAAATAATACCCTAGTTTAGTAATTTGACCTGTCTAAAAAAACCTTTATCTGAGTCACCCAAGCAGAAATCAGATCAACTTACAGCTATTATCATAATTCCTAGAACACTTGTAAAAATTGGCCGAATGGTTAAGTTTGTGATTTCAGAAATAATAAATTTTTTTTTTTTCTATATTAGTAGTCTTGCCAGTATCTTTATTAGCTCAAAGCTAATATACAAGTATATTATAAACTATTTAAGTTACAAATCTGACATCACTCAGCTTCTCTTATGGGTGCCCAAGTGTGGTCTGCCACACCAGATAAGGCTATTGCTCATACCAGGGCTATATCAAGCTAATTTGTGAAACTATAACAATATAGTTTCAAAACAACTGAATTTTTAATTATATCTAAATGGCAGACTTCTCTTTTATACATGCTGACAAAATTATTTTAGGTTTTGAGATATGAAATTAAAATTTGGTAAAAGACGAAATTTTTGATACTTTTTTTGAAGAGACGAAATTATAAAGAACATAACTACCTAAATTAGATTTGCTTTTGTATATAAAAAATTTTAAATTGCTCTAATAAAGACGAAATAGGGTTTTTTTGAAAACCTATTTCAGTAGTATGTATATTCTTTTTCTAAGCTATCCTCCTCTTTAATACAATATTCTAACTCTAATTTTCTTATAACAAACAATTCTATTTTCTTTCTGAGAGCATCCATAAATAACGTTATGTACCTGTATATTAACCCTTGACCCCCTAGACTATATAAAAATTTTTTAAAAATCTGTATATTTATATATAAATACAAAATCTTGATTATCTTGTGATCCAGTGATCCAAATTAGATAAATTTGATACCATTAAATTCATCTTAATGAGAGGAATTTAATAGTATCAAAATTATTTAATTTGGATTACTAAATCAAAAGATATAGGCAAAAAATTGTTAATTATATAGTAATTTCATATAAAATAATATAGCTAATAGTGTTTTGCCAATATCTTTTAATTCAGTAATCCAAATTGAATAATTTTGGTACTATTAGATTTCTCTTACTGAGACAAATCTAATGGTATTAAATTTATCTAATTTGGACTACTGGGTTACGAGATATTAATATTTTTATAAAAAAATTAGATTATTTTCTTTGATCCCCTCTAACTTAGCAAAAAATATAAAAAAATGTTATTTTTGTGAAACCCCTTCTTCTTCTCTTGTATAATATTATTTATAAATAACAGAAGTTGCTATCAGAATTCTTTCAGTTATATTTGTATTTTTTTTTTCTTCTTCTAATTTAGTCTGTCCTTTCTAATCATAGCACTAATCAGAGATCTATCTCTTGGAAGTTTATTTTCAAACTTTCCTTTACTCTTTTTTTCTTGACTCATAGCTTTGTAATTTTTTTCTTCTTCACCAGAGCTTATTCTATAGGTTTTTTCGAGAAAGATTCTTTTTGAAGCTTTTTTTTTTTTAACTGTCTTAGATTTTTTTTTGTTTTTTCTTTCTTAAGTTCTGAGTCTTTTGGTCAAGATTCTTCTCCTTTGTATTCTGGATAAATAGAACTTTTCTTTTCTTTCTTTTTAGCTTCTTCTTTCTCTTTTTCTTTCTAAGATTTGGTTTTTTACTTAGAAACCTTTCTTGTATTTCGTTAAAAATTTCATTGTTTCTAAAGTTATTTACAAAGATCTTTTTAATTATCTTCAACAAGGCATACTTTTTTTTCTTTTTCTAATTCTTGGCTCCTTTTGTTTTGATTACTAGTATGTCTTGTAACAAATTTAAGTTGAGATTCTATTAAGATTTTATGCTGTGTATCCATTTTATTAGTAGCTCTTTTTTCTTTTTTTTTAAATTTTATTAGGCCAAGAGTCTTTAATATTTGTTTGGTATAATACCTCTAATATCTATTCTGTTGATATTATTGATATGATTTTTGGTCTTGTTTTTTTTTGAATCTTGTTTAGCATCTTTGCTTCTGTAAGATCTGGGATATCTTGTTTCTTGCTTCTTCTTTTTTTTTCCTTTCTAGTTTTGTTTCTTCTCTTTTTCATGTTTTTTGTGATAAAATTAACAAATACTTTGAAATATATTACTAGAGTTCTTAATGCTATTTTATTGTTCTGCCTTTGTTAAATTTTTTTTTTTTTTTGGAGTCTTCTGCTTCAATCTAAATTCAACTTCGATCTTAATTTAGTAGCTTGTTTTTCACTTTGATGGGCTTCTAACTTTAGTTTTAACTTTAATTTTATTATTTGCTTTTCTCTTTGTCAGACTTGCATCTTTTCATTTTCTTCTTTGGCCTTTCTCTTTGTCAAGTATTGGTTTTCTGTAGTGGTTTTGACAAATTTTTTGAATTGCTGTATTAGATTCTCTAAGGCTGTTCTATTGTGCTGCTGTTGTCTTTTCTTTTTTTGCTCTTAAAATCTCTTGCTTTAATTATACATGCCGACGAAATTATTTTGGGTTTTAGAATACGAAATTAAAATTTGAAGACGAAATTGTTTTTGACCTATTTTACTTAAAAGATAAAATTTTTTGATACTTTTTTTGAAGAAACGAAATTATAAGAAACATAACTATCTAAATTAGATTTGCTTTTGCATATAAAAATTTCCAAATTGCTCTAATAGAAATGAAATAGGGTTTTTTTGAAAACCTATTTTGGTAGCATGTATAGCTCCAATCTGTTTCTAATTTTGACTTTAATTTAGCGGCTTGCTTTGCTCTTATATCTATTATCTCTCTTAGCTACTCAGCTATATCTAATTCACTCATAATCTTGTTTATTTTCTTAATTATGATGTAGATGGCAATATCTATACCACCTAAACTTGCTTTATAATAGTATTAAATATTTCTTTCTCTAAGTACAAGATCTGAGTACTGAA